TATGGAAACAAAACCACAAAAAGATCTGCATTTCATATGCGAAACATTCATGAATATGAATAATGACTGATAAAAATAATTTAATAATAAAAATATAGACTTCACATAATATTAAAATATATCATATATTCTGTACTAAAAATTATACAAATGAAATAAATAGGTCTCGACTTTATATAAGGGATGAAATTATTTTTGTTCAAAAGAGTTAGAATATTCTTGGGCTCACTTTGCCTTACATTCTCATTGTCTACATATTTAAGTGATGAATATTTTATCGATTAATATATTATGTTTTTTGCAGTAAATGTATGCAAAAGATAAATGATTTTTTCATAAACTAAAAAAATAAAATGCCCAAAAGTGTTCACAACTCGTACCCAAATGTTTTTGTTGGTTTAAGTGATTATATTTAGAGTGAATGAACTTTTGGTTCGTTTTGACCACAGATGGCATGTCTTCCTCGTCGGCGGCGATATTATTGTTCACTTTCTCTGTCTCTGCGATGCGTTTCCTAAGCGCCGGAAACCAAGTCTCGAGCAAATCATAGGACGTCTGGGCGGACGCGTCCACATATGTTCGCCGCGACTCCACTTTCGCCGATTCGGCGAACTCTATAAATCCGGGCACTCTTTCGATGTCATTGCCGTACGCCTGGCGTAACATCGCTACCAAACGCATCTTACGGGCGTCCGCTCCCAGACCCTCCTCTTCACCACTGCTCGTACTTCTTTGCGGAACCAGTTTTGAGCCTTAAATTCAATATAACATATCATTAGTAAATTATATTGGTTTTAATGTCATGTGTAATGAGATATGGATAGCGACGGAGAGATGCCAGGGATGAGAGCACTCACTGTTTTTGCGCCGATGGGGACCAGTCTGTCGGTCGAGAGCCTCTGCGGCCCGAATAGCTCTGATGTGTTGCTGAACATTGGCCGCAATCTTGTCCTGTTTGCTGATCCGTAACCTCTCGAAGAGATTCAATCCCTGGCCTTTGC